ATACTTCCTTCTTGGTCTTCACTGGAGCAACCTTTAAACCCACATGTCCAGTAACTCTCTATCCATGAACACCAGGCATATTTCTGTCAGGTGACTCAAAACAAGTCCCGCTTCCTCCCCTCACCCAGTTCCTCAGTCATGTCCTGATTTATGGGTAGTTACCCAGCAGTCCCCTGGGTAACTGAACCTGCTCCAGTCTCTGTGGCTGCTGTAGCCAATCCACGTGGAAAGTTCTTTGCAAAATTACCCAAAACAGGTCCCACTAAAGAACATATTGTTAAATTAGCCTTGGTTAAATTTAAAGGCATTTATCCTATCAATGATTGCACTGTGAAAATAAAAATACACACATAAAGAATGTATTTCCAAATCATTTATCTGATGGGAGAATGTACACATTATACATTAAGGTTGTCATATGTTTGTAGAAGAGCCAAGCACCCTCTAACCACAGTGACCCTCCATGAGAAGGGCAGAAGGAAGTTGGAAGTAACAGATTCCTCTCAGGGTTAAAGTTGCCTTTCTGATCAGATATTCTATGGTAGGAATTCTCTTCACTAACTTCCCTCTGAACCTGTCATCACTGAAAACACTAGACTGAGAAAACAGGTCAATCTCCTTCCATCATCATTTCAAAATATGAATGATTTTACTTTTATTTCTTGTCTTTTTTTCCACTTACAACTATGACTACTTCTGATGTAACTAGTTTTGGATCTCTACAATAGGCCATAGGATTCCATAAACGAAGAGATTGCAAAGGAAGCTCTAGATACATTCACAAATGTCCGAGAATCAAGAATCAAGAATGTCCCATCTACCTTTGCTTACAAGGTAGTTAATTAGGTCAAAGTAATGTCTAAATTAAGATATAAAATATTGAGAATGACTGTCCTTTATTTTTTATTTTTTTGCATAACTGTATAAAATAATTGTGTAAAATTAGATTCAGAAATTTAGAAGTTGTAGATACACTAGGTTGTTGAGATTCAGCATTGATCTGAACAAACATTAATCCCTTTTACAACTGTTTGAAAGATGTGTGAAAAGTTAAATGTGTATCCTACTCTTCTAGTATACCATTTCACTTTAGGCTATTCTTTGACCTAATTCCAATGTGTTTCATGACCCAGTTGGTCCCCTGTCCATGACTTACATGCTGAGTGAGATCAATGGAGGAGATGGCCTAACAGAAATCCCAGAATGACCAGGGCAGCCTGACCTCAGGCCCTACACTTATAGCAAACTCTGCCCCACATGTAAATTTGTGTTCAAGCTCCAGGGTAAATCCTCTCCTGGGCTGTGCAGGCTCACAACTCTCTCTTCACACAGGGCTGAGATCTCTAGGGAGGCAGAGCTGTGGTCTAGAAGAAGATGCAGCTGCTGGGTCTTCGTCTGTGCCTGGTGACAGGCTCCCAAGGTGAGGGTCTCAGGGGTCAGACGGGGTCATGGGATGGCAGTCACTGCACATGACTGACTGGGACTGATGCTCCTTGTCCCCAGGTGTCCTGTCCCAGGTGCAGCTGCAGGAGTTGGGCCCAGGACTGGTGAAGCCCTCAAAGACCCTCTCCCTCACCTGCACTGTCTCTGGATTCTCTATTACAACCAGTGGTTATGACTGGACTTGGATCTGCCAACCCCTAGGAAAGGGGCTGGAGTGGATTGGGGCGCATTAATTTTGATGGAGACATTTACTAGAGCCTTTCCTTCAAAAGCCGAACCTCCATCTCCAGAGATATGTCCAAGAACCAGTTTTTCATGCAGTTGAGCTCCATGACAATGGAGGACACGGCCATGTATTACTGTACAAGAGACACACAGTGAGGGGAAGTCACTGTGAGCTCATACAGGAACCTCCCTGAGGGAGACAGCAGGGATGGACTGTAGGGTGTGCTTGGGCACCAGGGGGCGCTCAGGACCCACAGCACAGAGAGCAGCCCCAGGTGCAGGGGCAGAGGGAGGTGGGAAAGGAAGGGCCTTCCTTTGGGTGCAGAGATTTCCTCACAAGCTCTCAGCTCCCTCCAGGGAGGATTCTTTCTTTTAATATTCCCACTGTAGACAATAAGGAAGAAGCGACATTGTCTGTTTGCAGGTGACATGTTAGCAGTGACGGGGCCTCTCCTTCACAAATTCTAAAAGTGATTTTTTCAGTGTCTTGTCAACATTTCACTGATGCGTGTGAACTCCAAAGGTGGGTTGCTGGGATTGGAGTGTGTGCACAGCTCTGCATCCCTCTACTAGTGAGCCCTCTGCTGTCCTGCAGGAAGCAGTGCTAACCCCAGAGTGGTGATAGGTGACTCTGAGGCTGGAATATGGATCATCAAACTCCCTTCAGCTTTCCTCCTGGATCCAAGGTATTTTTAGCTTCACTGTGGGTGCGATGTGCAACGGGAGCATGTTTAGAAGCCAAAGAGCCATCCATGGGACCCCCTGCATCCATACCATGCTCTCACTATTTTTCCAGGAAACACAGAGTCACAGAGACATATAGTCATATACCCAGAGTTCCAAACAGACACAGAGACACACAGTTAAAACACAGTCACAAACACAATGTCAGACACAGTCACACATACACACAGTTGCATAATCATTTTTGAAAAAGACATGAATTCACACATGAGCAGTGATACAAACCCATTCATGAATTACACATTGTACTTTATGAATCCTATATAAGAAAATGGGATTATATTTATTTATTTTGGATGGCACATGAAATAAACATATGGCCCGAAACCAACTATTATTTCAACACTGACCATACCCTGTGAAGATCAACAGTTGTATTTCCCAGTCCTCTTAGAGGGAGCTCAAATTAGGTAATGGGTCCCAAATTGGCTAGATTGTTATGTATTTCAAAAAAAAAATAATTGGCATGGTAGTGAAAACCTTCCAACAAATAAAAGCCAAAGACCAAATGGATGGAAAGGTGAATTCCAGCAAAACTTTGAAGAAGAATTGATGAGAGATTAAAAATGGTGGCAGAGTAGGAGGATGCTTCACAGACATGCTCCCAGGAACAAGCTGGAATTACAACTGAATACAGAAAGGCTTCCTGAATAATCAATGGCAAACTCACAGGAGAGAAACCTGATACCCAAGGACCAAGGGTGGAGATTGCATAGAGACTGATAGGAGAAGCAGAGGTGCGAAAGGGGTGGCTGGGCACCCACAGAAGGCAACTGAAGTCTTGGAGAGATATCATAGTTGTGGGGGGGATGGTGTGGGTTGCCAATGAGAACTCTGGGATCTAATCCCGAAGCTGGGCTCCCAGCAGAGAGCAGCAAACTGAGAAGGGTACCCATATAACATCTAGATGTGAAAAGCAGTGGGTGCTATCTGCCAAAGAGTGGCAGCCAAAAGTTCAGGTAGCCTCTTAAAGGGCCAATGCACAAAATTCCCTGTGGAGCCACCCACCTTGTGCTCTGGCTGAAGGAGGGTGAATTGGACTGGAGCCATGAAAGCAGAAGCCATGACTGGGTACAATTGGGGGATAGACCTCAGAAGACAGACACCCCGAGTTTCCTGGGCTGAGTCATTCCCTCACACAGTAGAGGACATCTTTCCCATACAGACATTTGCCTTGCCTGGGGGGAAGACAGTTGATACATCCTATTGGAAAACACCTTGCCCTGAGGCCACTTTAAAGATTACAAATAAAAATCAGCCTCCAGGCAGATGCAACTGCCCCTCCTTGTTTAAAACAAACAAAGAAACAAACAAACAAGAACAACTCTGGCCACACCTGAAGTTAATTGTCTGAGGGGCAATTCAAGTCGAAATCCTTTCAGTCTGCCAACAGAGGCAGTCTCTGGAGGCTTTGAGTCTCTGCCTGATCTAATTAGTCAGAAACAGTCTTTAACACTATCCTGCAATAGAGATTGAGAGGTATAAAGGATATACCTAAAACATAGTCAAAAACCCAAACAGACAGCCAATATGAGAAAACAAAGAAACAGCCCCTAAATGAAAGAACTTGAGAATTAGCCAGAAGAAGAAACAAATGAAGCAGAGATAATAAATTTACCTGAAACAGAGTTCAGAATAATGGTGGTAAAAATGTACAACTGCATGAAAAAAACATACAGTAACTATGAAAAAAGAACATAAAAAACAGCCTGAGATAAAGAGTGATATGACACAAATAAAGAACACATTGGAAGGAATACACAGCAGGTTAGGGGAAGCTGAGGATTGAAACAGTGAATTAGAAGACAGAGTTGAAAATATCCTAATCAGAGAATCAAAAAGAAAAAAAAAACAACAACAATTAAATAAACAGGAGTAGCCCTAACCGGTTTGGCTCAGTATATAGAGTGTCAGCCTGCGGGCTGAAGGGTCCCAGGTTCGATTCTGGTCAAGGGTATGTACCTTGGTTTCGGGAACATCCCCAGTGGGGGGTGTGCAGGAGGCAGCTGATTGATGTTTCTCTCTCATCAATGTTTCTAACTCTCTATCCTTCTCCCTTCCTCTCTGTAAAAAAATCAATAAAACATATGAAAAAAACAAACAAACAACAACAACAACAGGAGAACAGCTTAGGGGAGCTGTGGGACAATGTGAAATGTAATAATATTAGAATAGCAGGTGTGCCAGAAGAGGCAGAAAGGAAGATAGGCATAGAAAAGATGTTTGAAGAAATAATGGCAGAAAACTTCACTGACCTGGTAAAGGAAAAAAATCACACACGTTCAGGAGGCACGGAGAACCCCGAACAAGAGGAACCCAAACAGGCCCAAACATCGCCATGAAAATGCCAAAAAATTGAAGGCAAAGCAAAAATCTTGAAGGCACCCCTAGCCAGTTTAGCTTCTCTACAGGCCGGAAGGGAATTGCATGAAGTACTCAAGGTAATGGAAAGCAAAGATCTGAGACCAAGATTACTATTTCCAGTAAGGCTATCATTCAAAATAGATGGTCAAATAAACAGCTTCCCAGACAAAAATAATAAAAAAAAGGGCTCAAGGAGTATATCACCACCAAGCCAGCACTACAAGAAATGCTAAAGAGATGGTGGAAATGAGAAGAAGACACAGAGGGAGAAACCTAGCCTTACAGTATTAAAATGGCAATAAATAAGTACATATAAATAATAACTTTAAATATAAATGGGTTAAATGCTGTAATCAAACAACTTTGGGTACCTGATGGACATGAAAACATGACCCAAATATATGCTGTCTACAAGAAACCCACCTTAGAACAAAATCCTCACACAGAATGAGTGAAAGGATGGGGAAAAGATGGTGGAAATGAGAAGAAGACACAGAGTGAGAAACCTAGCCTTACAGTATTAAAATGGCAATAAATAAGTACATATAAATAATAATACTAAATATAAATGGATTAAATGCTCCAATCAAAAAGTGTAGGGCAGTGGAATGGATATAAAAACATGATCCAACTATAGGTTGTCTACAGAGACCCACCTGAAAACAAAAGACTTATGGAGATGAAAGTAAAGGGATTGAAAAAAAATCCATGCAAATGGAAATGAAAAAAAACTACAAGAAATGCTAAAGAGATGGTGGAAATGAGAAGAAGACACAGAGGGAGAAACCTAGCCTTACAGTATTAAAAAGGCAATAAATAAGTACATATATATAATAATCCTAAATATAAATGGATTAAATGCTCCAATCAAAAAGTGTAGGGTAGTGGAATGGATATAAAAACATGACCCAACTATAGGTTGTCTACAGAGACCCACCTCAAAACAAAAAACTTACAGAGATGAAAGTAAAGGGATTGAAAAAAAAAATCCATGCAAATGGAAATGAAAAAAAAAAAAAAAAAGGTGGAGTGGCAATACCCACATCTGATAAAATAAGCTTCAAAATGAAGGCCCTACAAGAAACAACAAAGCTCACTACATAGAACTAAAGGGATCAATCCAACAAGAGGATATAACCTTGGTGAACATAAAATGAACCCAATATAGGAGTGCTTAAATAATTAAAAAAAAAAAAAAACTTGTAGAGGACTTTAACAGAGAGATCAACAACAATACAGTCATATTAGGGGACATCAACACCTCTCTCACTTCAGTGGATAGATCTTTCAGATGACTAAACAGAGACTCTAAAGGACACCCTGGATCCAATAGCTTTAATTGACATTTTTAGAACATTTCACCCCAATGCAGCAGAATGTACATTTTTCTCAAATGCACATGGATCATTCACAAAGATAGACCACATGATAGGACACAAATCAAGTCTCTACAAGATCAAGAAGTTGGAAATCATATCAAGCATCTCCTCCGATAATTGTGGAATGAAATTAAAAATCAACTACAGTAAAAACACCCGAAAACATTCAAACACATTGAAGCTAAATTGCATGTTATTAAACAATGAATGGGTTAACAACGAGATCAAGAAAGTAATAAAGATTTCCTTGAAACAAATGAAAATGAACACACAACAATCCAAAATCTCTGGGTCACAGCAAAAGCAATTTTGAGAGGGAATTTCATAGCACTACAGGTATACCTCAAAAGAATTAGAAAAGCCCTAACAGGTTTGGCTCAGTGGATAGAGTGTCGGACTTTAGACTGTAGGGTTCTGGGTTTGATTCTGGTCAAGGGCACATGGCTGGGGTTGTGGGCTTGATCCCCAGTAGGGGATGTGCAGGAGGCAGCCAATCAATGATTATCTCTCAGCATTGATGTTTCCATCTCTCTTTTCCTCTCTCTTTTTCTCTGAAATCAAACTACTAAAATGTATATATTTAAAAAAGAAAAATCAGCAATATAAAATTTAAACCTACAACTTAAAGAAGTAGAAAGAGAGCAAAAAGAAAAGCCCAGAGTAAGTAGCAGGAAGGAAATAATAAAGATTAGAGCAGAAATATGTAACATAGATACTAAAAAAGCAATATAAAAATCTCTAAAACCAAGAGCTGGTTCTTTGATAAACCAGGGAGGAAAACCAAGATGGCGGCATAGGTAAACACCAGAGATTGCTGCCTCACACAACCACTTCAAAAATACTACTAAAAGACGGAACAGACATCATCCAGAACCACAGGAAGGCTGGCTGAGTGGAAATTCTTCAACTAGAAGGAAAGAGAAAAGCATACCGAGACTCAGAGGAGGTGCGGTGCGGAAGTAAAATACAAAGGTGCGGATGTGCATGCAGAGAGGGCTGGTGGCTAAGGACACGATTGTCTTTTTCAATCAGGAGGGAGTCTCAAGCTCTGAGCTCCAGTTCCAGATGAGTCTCTGGGACCCAAACTCATACGGGAGAAACGGCACTCTCTGGCATCGATCAGAGCTAGAGGGCAGCTTTCTCTCAGAGGCGCTCACAGCGATTGCCAGGGCCTCTGAGGGCAGGACTGAGAGCAGCCATACTGCTCGCTCTGCCCGCCCTGTTGATTCCCTGGAACCCCGCCCCGCCTAAGCTGTGCAGGGAGGCTTTTGCATATGAAAGGCCCAGCGCTTTGTAATCTGAAAATAACTTAACAAACTACAGCTGCCCCAAGGCCCAAAGGCAACTTGCATTGCTTTACAGCTGGCTTTTGCTGGGTAGCCACAGGCAGAGGCTAGATTAGTACCTCCTTAGATCCAAGAGCCAGTGTACCCAGTGGTCAGAGTGGGACCATCCAATTACAACTCCTCAGATCTACAAGGGACACACTCAGGGGGCAGACTCAGTGAGCACCAAAGCCCCACTGAAGCAACTCTTGCCCCATAAGGGTGTCTTCAGCACAGAAGTTCTACCACCA